CCCCCCGCCCCAAAACGCATCTCTTTTCTAACTGTTCTTCACTGGGCTAATACATCTGTTGTGATTTTTCTGCTCATCCATAGCAAGGCCACATTGTTTGAAGTTAGGCTTTGGTGGGATCTTTTAAAGCATTTTTACTTCCTTGTGTGTTCCTGATTGACCTACTTAAACTTGCCATCCAGCAACCACTGGAGCATCCTGTTGTCATCCATTATCCACATATGTTTAGCTGGTGAGCAGCAGATCTGGGTTGCAATAAGCATTATTCCAAACATGGTAAATTATGTCTTCTCTTTAGCCTGCCTCTTGGTTTGTTTCATGTTCAATCAGATTCGGAGTTTGGCTTTTAGCGAACTATTCAAGAAGCTAGACTTGGTATCATTGCCAAGATGCAGGTCCCACTAAAACATAGCCCCCAGCAAGCTTACTCTTCCGAATTCCTTCAGCCCCCCTTATCTGTACCCTTCATTTGTCCCTGTTGAAGCTGCTGTCTTACCCTTCTTCTATTACCTGACCTTGAGGCTTTTACCCCTGTGTTTCCTCCTCCTTCTTGGCCAAATCATCCCCTTCCTTTGGCATCTCTGATCACACAGTCTCCTGGTTTTCCTCCTACTGCTCTGTTCTCATCAGTTTCTTTTGCCCCCCACTTCCCCATATTAGAATGCTTCAGGGGCCATTCTAGGCCTTCTCCTCACCCTATGCTTCCTTCCTTTGCAAACCCATCCATTCTCTTGGCCTCCACTTTCATCTAAAATTGTTCCAGGGGCACCTGGGTGGCTCAGTCGATTAAGCCTCTTGATTTCGGCTCAGGTCATGATCCCAGGGTTGTGAGATTGAGCCCCAAGTCAGGCTCCGAACTGGCCTTGAAGCCTGCTTAAGATTCTCTCTCTCCTTCGCCCTCTGCCCCTCCCCCACCTCCCTCTCTCAAGAAAAAAAAAAAAAAAGTAAAATTGTTCCAAAATCTCTATCTCTAGCCAGACTGCTTCCTAGAACTTCAGACCCAAATGCCAGCTGTCAAGTGGACATCTCACAGGTGCTTGTTCAGAACGACATCCCCGGTCCTCATACTTGAAGTATTTCCTACCCCAACTTAAGGTACTGCCACCCTCTCCATTGCCCAAACCTGGAACCGCTCTCTCTCTTTGACCCTAGCATCCAGTGACAAAAGCCCTACTAATTTTACCCTGGGTGTACCTTCATGTCTCTTCCTGTCTCTAGCTTTACCTATCCTCAGAACCAAGTCTGATCATGTCAGGACTCCCTCCTAAACCTTCCCACCCAACTCGAGATTTCCCATTGCACTCAGGACATTGCATAAACCTGTTCACTTCTCTCTTTCTCTCTCTCTCTCTCTTTTTTATTTGAGAGAGAGCATGAGTAAGCACACAAGTGGGGAGGGGCAGTGAGGGAAGGAGACAAAGAGTCTTAAGCAGGCTACATGCCCAGTGTGGAGCCCCACCAACACCAGGCTTAATTACCCCCGACCCTGAGAGCATGACCAGAGCCAAAATCAAGTCAGACACTTAACCAACTGAGCCACCCAGGCGCCCCTAACTTCTCTTATAGGCCCTCCAAGGTCTTGTCTCTGCCTCCTTATTCAGTCTTGTCTCATCTCCCTGTTACACTCTACATTCCCACAAAGGGGACTAGAATATGTCACTTTGCCATAAGGATTATTTTGACCTGAAAGCAATTAGGAAGCAGCAAACACAGAAAGAGCTCTTTGCTTTCTCGCTATCTGCCTAAAAGCAGGACATATAATTCCCTTTGTGAAGGTGCTTCCTCTCCCCTCTCCTGTACCAGGAAGAGGAAAACAACCATTATCACTAGAGACAAAGAGTTGGCACTGATTTGGGTCTGTACAAGCAAACCTTACTGAAATAACCCTTATCTTCCATTAGTTTCCCCATATATTTACCTTTCCACAACTTACCACCCCAGAGGCCCAAACCTTTTCTGCTCTATTTTGTCACTTCTCCACAAATTTATTGCTATTTGCTAAGATGGTATATATGCCCCACATCCTAACCACCTCTTGTTTTTAAAATTTTGTTAATCTGTCTTTTGTCAGTTTAATTTGCAGGGCCTGTGCTACAAACCTGAGAGAGTAGAGAGAAGGTCACATGAGACATATAGCAAGAAAGTGGTCATCTAAAAGCCAGGAAGAAAGCTCTCACCAGAAACCAAAGTTGCTAGCACCTTGATCATGGACTTCTAGCCTCCAGAACTGTGAGAAAACACATTTCTGTTGTTTAATCCACCCAGGCTGCAGTATTTTGTTCTAGCATCCTGAGCAGACCAATATAATCAGGATGATTTATGTCTTATCTCCCTAAGGGAAGGCTGTCTTATATTTCTCCATATAGTTCTTTGAAAAGCATTACGTATCTAGTATATGCTTAAAAAATATTGACTGATTAAAGTGGAAGCCTTTACACTTACTACTTCTTCTTCCTGAAATACTTTGCCCTTACTCTTTAGCTAAATTCAACCCATCCTTTAGGCCTCAGCCTTGATATTATGTCCTCAGAATATTCCCTGTCCACCTAACCAAAATTATTAGCTCCACCCTGATTCTCTCTTACAGAATCTTTGTTCTTTTTCTTCATAGTATGTAAGGTCATTTTAATTATATTTGTTTAATATAAATTCCATGAAGGCAGGGACTTTGGCTCACCTTGATGTCGCCATTATCTAGTAGAGTGCCCTGCACAAATATAAAGTTATTAAAATATCATAAATGTATCTGATGATTAAAAGACATGACCACTCAGTGTTATCTCTTATTGGTCATAACTTGATGCTCTTTGACCCTCCCTTTCTGGGCCCAGAGAACATGCTGGTTTTGTGCATAAGTCCCTAAGGGATTTCAAGTCAAAGCAGTCTGAAGTGTTGAGGCTAATCAGAAATGCATCCTGGTTGAGGTGCAGTCTGAGATGGGCTACATGGCCTATGGCAGGGAGGGGTAGGCAGACTTCAAAAGCACAGGGAAGAAGATAAACTGTAAGCAAATTAGCTTGCCTGGAGTGAAGGCCGCATAAGCTTGGTTGAAATGGTAGTTTAGGGGACAGTTGATAAGCTTTGGGTTCCAAACTGATGACTTTAGGTTGATAAAATAGACCTGGGGAGCTGCTGGTGGTGATTGAGCTGGGGAGTGACTTCATGAGAATGGAATTTGAGAAAGATTATGCTAACAGCTGAGGATTATGTGAATTGGAGGAGAGCAAGAGTAGGGGCCAGGAGTGCAGCAAAAGAGGCTGCTAGGGAGTTGAGGCAACTCTTAAATTTCCATTATTCTTGGATGCTAGCTAGCTGGGATATGGGATTGTTGAGCCCAGTGGGCAAGAAAGAATTCTTGAGACGATTTACGGTGCAAAGGTGTTTTTATTATAGCACAGGGACGGGACCCATGGGCAGAACCAGCTGCATTGTGATTGTGAGGAGTGACTGATCATATAGGGTTTTCTATCCTATGGAGGTGAAGGTGATGCTAGGGCTCCAGGAAATTGAGTCTATAGGTTCCTGGAGGTCTGACTATTATTAAGATTGTATTTTTCTTATAAATCATGAAGACAGTTACAAACTATAATGAAGTTTCGTGTTCTACACGACTGTGATCTTTATCAGTTGACCATTTATTTTTCCCCTGCCTTTGTTCTTAGGCAGTTCCTAGTGCCTGAGGAATGTTATATGTATATCCCACCTTATGGGGCCTTCTGGGGGGAGGGGGGGATTTCGGGGTGTCAGCTTGTGTTTTGCCCTCAGCTTGCTCTCTCATCAGCTGAATCTGAAAAAAGACGCAAAATGAAAATAGTTCCAAGTTACTCATTTACAGTGAAAAATATTCTTCTCCAATTCCTTCTCTTTCGGACATTCAGATTCCAACTAGAAGGCTGCTTACTGAGTGCAGACTGACCAAAAGAGTGAATCGAATGATCTGGCTGGCTATTACCTCCTTTTCCTCAGAATGGACATATATGCCTGACTGCTAGATTAAAAATATTTCTATTATCTGGAGACGATGTTCACTGAATAGTAGATTCTCTGTTTCTCTCCCTTTTAGGTTCTAGGCAAACTTTCATTTTTCTCTGAATAAATTGCATGGCAATGAATTAAACACAGACTTGATGTTCCAGTCTTGAGTCTACACTGTAGTTGTCTCCAGTAGAGCCTGTTGTTGCTATTAGTTTGTTTCGTGTGTCATAAATGTATCATTTGGGAGGTAGGTGATGAGCTAGGTTCAAAATATACTGAGTTTGAAGTGCCTCAGGTGAGAAATGTCCAAATGTTAATTGAAAATGTGAAGCTTGAACAATTTAGGAAAAAAGTTGGAGCTGGAGATATTTTCCAGGGGCGCCTGGGTGGCTCAGTTGGTTAAGTGTCTGCCTTCAGCTCAGGGTCCTGGGATTGAGCCCTGTGTCCTGGGATCGAGCGAGCCCTGAGTCAGGCTCCCTGCTCAGCAGGAGGTCTGCTTCACCCTCTGTCCCTCCCCCTTGCTCGTGCTCTTGCTCTCAAATAAATAAATAAAATCTTAAAAAAAAAAAAAATAGAGATTTTCCAGGTAGAACTAAATGCATTCTATTTTGGTTATGTAATACCTTATAAAACCTTTGTGAGAGTATTTATCATTACATTAAAGCTATTTATTTATCTGCATCCTCCACACCAGACAGGAAGCTTCTTGGGGGCAGGGATGGCCTCTTACTCATTTTCGTAAAAGCATGTGCATACTATAGGTGTAATAAGTGTTAGTTGAATGGATGAATGGATGAATGAGAGTAATCGGGTTAAAGGAGATACAGGACAGCAGGGTAAGTGACAGAACTCTGGTATGATAAGTACAGCAGAGAAGGCCCAGAGACAAGAGCACTAGGTCTAGCCACAGAGAAGTCACTGGTGGGGTGCAAGGGAGGAAGTCAGAATTTGAGAAGTAAAAGAAGAAGTTGGTGGAAAGGGAAACCAAGAAGAGTCTCATTTTTAGCACTAAAAACATGTCCAAAATGCTGAGAAAAAGTGCTTGCTAAGGTGTTGAGTCTCTTTTTCCTTACTGAGAGCCACCCATGCTGTGGGTGACAGGGCCAGCTGTCACTGATGCTTTCTTGTTTTCTTGTCCTCTTGGGGGCCAGGACTCTCCATGAGGGAATCCCATTGGCTCTACCAGCTTCCACTGTCACCTTAGTGTCCTAGGTTCTAGTCTCAGACCTGCCATGACTCATAGTGTGACCTTGGGCAAGTCACCCCCTTCTGTCTGTGCCTCTAAAGTCCCTTGCAGCTGACAGGATGTCTGGGGGAATGCAGTTTGGATGACTGGTGAGGGTTCTGACTTGCTCTCCATTGCTTTTCAACTATAAATCACTTTGCCAGACACCAGCTGTCCTGCCCTCTGCTTTAGATTCTCGGGCGGGATCCAACCCACCTGTTGCTGGGGCCCGCCCAATGTCTTCCTCCCACGGTTCAGCTCACGGATCCATCACTAGGCCGCACTGCCTTGATCACAGCACAGGAATGAGCTTCAATCATTTAGACAGACTGTTGAGTGATTGGGCCAAACGTGGACCATTCTCCACTTATGCTAAACAGCTGAGGAAATGAAGGTGGATGGGATGATTTAAAGTGCTCAGAGGACCAGTGCTATCAATGGCCCTTAAAATTTTGATTTTAATTTGATTTTAGACCCTTCCATTCCTTCTCTGCCTTTACCTTTGGTGCTCTGGATTTTCAGGGTCACTAAGACTTCAGGTTTTCATTGCTTTTTTCCTTCTTCTTTGGGCATAAGGAATCTTAGCTATAGGGGATTGGGTTAATCATTCTCCTTGAGTTATATAGCCTTCTTCATCACTGATCCATACAAAGCTTTTTGTTTAATTAGTTATTTATTCCTTTTTATCTTGTTGCCCCATCCCATCCAAATAATACTCACCATAAGCAACCCTCAAATATTTTTAATGTGTATTTTTTTGTTGGTATGTGTAATGCTTCTAGTATGCATGTACTTAATAAAATTTAATAATACATTCTATTCTCCCAGTATAGCCAAAATTTTATTTCAACATGTAAACAATATTAAAATTATTGATATATTACATTCTTTTCTTTGTAGTAAGTCTTCAAAACCCATTGTGTGTTTTTTCTTACAGCATATCTCAATTTGGATGCTAAATTTTCATCACAAATACTTAATCTGTATTTAGATTTCATAATTTCACAGTTGAAAAAGTAGATTCACATACCTGTTTTCCAAGCATACTTAAAAATTTTCCAGTAACTGAATCAAGTACCCAAAAAAATCATTTTCCTTTAATAGTTGCATCCAAATGGACAAAATTGCTTCCTGTATTTTAAAAGAATTATATCAGTATCAAAAGTATGTCCAAGTCAAGTAAATTCACTAACTGCTGTGTCAACTCAGTATTATTAACATGAAATTCAAGGAGATATTGCATAAATTGAAAAGCAACTCCAAATTTGTTAATATCAACAAAACATTTAAACTTTTCTTGTCATTTTTGCAGCCAGTTTATATAATGCTGTTGATTAAAATCTGCATATTTATGTTAGAGAAATGCATATTAATTTGCATTGTGGCAGGCTTTAGTTTTAGCATAAATTCTTGTACCTACCTAGCTAAGTTGCAAATAAGCGTTTTCTTTTCCTTGGAGCTTCAGGTTTAGCTCATTCGTATGCAGTATGATATCAGTGAGATTATATGCAGATATTTTAAATTTATAGAAATGTAATTGTGGTTTATATCTTATTCAGCTTCTTACTCATTGCTATATTCTTCTGGATACACATCTAATCTTTTGCTTCTAACTGGTCTGTACTCTCTCATGGCCCTGTCTCAGTAATGGAGACCCACATTGCTTCCCCTTCGGGCCACCACAAGTCATGCTGCAGCAAAGAACCTCTCTATTCATGTCTCTTCTGAACTTGAGTGAGATTTCTTTCACGTGTATACTCAGCTTGATTACCCTTCTAAACCACAAAGCCCTTCTACTTCTATCCCCCCTATTTCTTAGTGCTTCTATTTCTTTGCTTTTCTTTTTTTTCTTCTGGAAGATATTCTTTCTTTTGCCTTTCAATACCCTACCATGTTTCCCAGCTGTGTCCATCGTGCTACTTTTCAAATCTATTGTGTGTTCTATTTTAATGATTAATTTTTTATACCTAACATGTTGCTTGTTTTATCAAAGTTTTTTTTCCTATTTCTTTCTTTCTTTTTTTTTTTT